TTTTTTCACTGTTCACCTTTCACAATCATACATAACAATCAGAAATACGTTAGGTAGCTATCACGTCACTTCTGTTTCCTCTTCTCCAAGGTCAATACACCCAGCTTCCTAAGTTATTCCTTTATGTGGCTTTGTTTCCAGATTTCTACTCTGCTGTTTTTTGAACAATTTTGTCAATATCCTTCTAGAGTTATGGTGCCCAGAACTGTGCATAGCATTCCAGGTAAGGTCTTAGCAAAGCAAAATAGACTGGCACTATGAGTTCCCTTGATCTAGTCACTATTCTCCTGTTATAATTGCATTGTCCTTTTGGCAGAACAGGATCCATCAGTGGCATCTCTTTCCCTCTCCTGATCCCTCAAAACCTTTACTGGAGGGATGGAGTACTCCAAATCACCTTTTGAGGGGCATGGAGAGCCATAGAAGAAGAAGTGGAGAAAATTCCTGCATATGGGTGAATATCTGATTGCAGAATACTGTAATTTACCCACTGGATTTCAGAATGCATTAATTAGGAAGAAACAGAAGCTACTCTCCTGAATGTTATCAGTTATGAATGCATGGCCATAATCCAATGTTAATATATATTTAAATGTGAAGAATATTCAGGCTCCTAGCTATTGAATAAAACATTTGGAAACATGTTCATAACATGACAACATGCATTTCTTTATGACAGATTTCTTTCAAAATATAGACATAACAATATTTGACATATTGTCAACTTGCAAATATGTAAAATATAATTTTAGCAAATTATGTGATGTATAATAGAGAATGGATTATTTCCCCCCATTGTATGATGTAATTCCTCAGTAGCAAGATTTTTTTGAATTTCCAATACAGTGAATTTCTGTGTATTTCTCTGCCTGTTCTTTTCTTTCATTAGATCCTTGATTATTTCTATCTCTCTCGCCCCCTGCACAAAAAAGCAATTGTTCCGAAATTGAAAGAGACAGTCCTTTTCCATACAATACTGAAACCAAGATTAATATGCGTGGAATTTTAGGGAAAAAAGCATGCCATTAATTAAGAGTGCTATACATTAAGAACTGCGTTTTGAAGATATCAACAGTGTATATTTGTGAATCAAAGCAAACAAATATAAATAGTTTGGAGAAAGAATGGGAGTCTTTTGAGTCATTTGGAAATCAAAGGAGAATTCATAACTGATAAAATCTTTTTGCTTTTATAAGTAGTGACCAGCATGCCTATAATGAGTAACCTTACGATGACAGAGCTACTGACATAATAAACAACTGCATTAGAAAGCTGTGACAAGGCACATTTGGGAACCACATACTGTCTCATTGCACAACAGTCACACCCCCATTCCACAATGGGACACTATGAAAGCTAGGGAGCTTTTTCCATTTGGGCTTAGGGCTCCCATCACTTTCTACTGCTATACGTTTTGGGATACCAGGAGCTGCTGTCCCTCCCTCTGTGCACCATCATTGTGTAAGGACAGCCTGTCCCCATAATGATCCAAACTGTTGTACATTGTGACCATTGCAAAGTGTCCACACTGCTTGTTCCACTTATGCAATCTCCAATACTCTCAAATCAGGAATACAACTATTATAAACTGCAATCCCAAGTTTGCTTACAATGTCATAAATTCCTAACCTGATGACAATCAGTATTTTTATAATCAACTAGCTGTGCCCTGCCACGCGTTGCTGTGGCCTATAGTAAAACTTATCAAAGTTGAGGTAGATATCTGGACTATTATGAAAGAGAGGTACCTTCCTATTCCTTTCCCCTTTTCCTCCCCCTTTCTCTCCTTTCTTCCTTCTCTACCTCTTTCTTTCTTTCCTTCTTTCACTACTTGGTTTCATCCTTCTCTCTTTCCTTCATTCCCTCCCCCTTTCTTCCTTTGCCTTTCTTCCCTCCCTGTTTGCTTCCTTCTTTCACTTTTTATTTCCTTTTATTTCACCACCATCATAACAATAACAATAATGCAATGCATTGCCTCTGGGACCTGACACCTCTCCCATTCCCCCAGGGTCTAATAGGAATAATAGCATAATAATAATAGAAATAACAACCTTTACCCGCCACGTGTTGCTGTGGCCAACCTTCCCTCTTTCTCTCCTTCTTTCCCTCCTTCCTTCCTTCCTCCCATCTTTCCTTCTCCTCTTCCTTCTCTATCTCTTTCCTTCCTTCCCCCTTTTTCTTTCTCTGTTTGTACCTTGTGGGTTCCTTCCCTCTTTCTCTACATCTTCCCCCTTCCTTCACTCCCTCTTTCCTTCCTTCATTCCCTTTTTCTTCTCTCCTTCCTTCCTTCCTTCCCCCTTTTTCTTTCTCTTCTGGTCTCTTTTCTTCCTTCTCTCTTTCCTCTTTCCTTCCCTCCCTCTTTCTCTACATCTTCGCCCTTCCTTCACTCCCTCTTTCCTTCCTTCATTCCCTTTCTTCTTTCCTTCTCTCCTTCCTTCCTTCCCCCTTTTCTTTCCCTCCCTCTGTCTCTCATTTCTTCCTTCTCTACCTCTTTCCTTCCTTCCCCCTTTTTCTTTCTCTTCTGCTGTCTCTCTTTTCTTTCCTTCCATCTTTCCTTTTCTTTCCTTTTCTTCTTCCTTCTTTCTCTAACTTTCCTTCCTTCCCCCTTTTTCTTTACCTCCCTTTCTCTTTCTTCCTTCTTTCCTTCCTTCCTGTCTTTCCTGGCTTTTGACAGGGCGGGAAGGGGCGGGGTGGGGTTTGGAGGTGGCGTGAAGTAAAAGGAGGTAAGATTGGGGCAGGGAAGTGATGGAGCGTGGGGTTGCGGTGTGTGTGCGGTGGCAAGGGGAGTGATGGAGCGTGGGGTTGCGTGTGTGTGTGTGGCGGTGGTGGGAGTGGGGTTGCATGTGTGTGTGTGGCGGTGGGAGGAGTGATGGAGCGTGGGGTTGTGTGTGTGTGCGGCGGCGGGGGAGTGATGGAGCGTGGGGTTGCGTGTGTGTGTGCGGCGGCGGGGGGTGGAGTTGCGTGTGTGTGTGCGGCGGCGGGGAGTGATGGAGCGTGGGGTTGCGTGTGTGTGTGTGGCGGCGGGGAGTGATGGAGCGTGGGGTTGCGTGTGTGTGTGGGGCGGGGGGAGTGATGGAGCATGGGGTTGCGTGTGTGTGTCGGCGGCGGGGGGAGTGATGGAGCGTGGGGTTGCGTGTGTGTGTGCGGCGCGGGGGGGGATGGAGCGTGGGGTTGCATGTGTGTGTGCGGCGGCGGGGGAGTGATGGAGCATGGAGTTGCGTGTGTGTGTGCGGCGGCGGGGGGAGTGATGGAGCGGGGTTGTGTGTGTGCGTGCGGCAGGGGGTGTGTGTGTGCAGGAAGCGGCGCGGTGGGGCTTGGAGTGGGCATGGCTTCCGCAGAGGGAACGTTGGCCGGAAGACTGTGTGCGCGCGCCAGGGAACTTGCGGCTGGGCACCAATGCGCATGCTCAGTTGTTTTGCCATTTTGTGAGTGTGTTGTTGTGTTGTTTTTCATTTTGAGTAGATATGTTTGTACCTTGTGGGTTGTGTTATGGGCATGGGAATTTTGGTTAAGTTTCGTTGGGGTTTTTTGAGTTTTGTTGTTTTGCCGTTTTGTGAGTGTGTTGTTGTGTTGTTTTTCATTTTGAGTAGATATGTTTGTACCTTGTGGGTTGTGTTATGGGCATGGGAATTTTGGTTAAGTTTCGTTGGGGTTTTGAGTTTTGTTGTTTTGCCTTTTTGTGAGTGTGTTGTTGTGTTGTTTTTCATTTTGAGTAGATATGTTTGTACCTTGTGGGTTGTGTTATGGGCATGGGAATTTTGGTTAAGTTTCGTTCGGGGGTTTGTGAGTTTTGTTGTTTTGCCGTTTTGTGAGTGTGCTGTTGTGTTGTTTTTCATTTTGAGTAGATATGTTTGTACCTTGTGGGTTGTGTTATGGGCATGGGAATTTTGGTTAAGTTTCGTTGGGTTTTTTTTTGAGTTTTGTTGTTTTGCCGTTTTGTGAGTGTGTTGTTGTGTTGTTTTTCATTTTGAGTAGATATGTTTGTACCTTGTGGGTTGTGTTATGGGCATGGGAATTTTGGTTAAGTTTTGTTGGTTTTTTTAGTTTTGTTGTTTTGCCGTTTTGTGAGTGTGTTGTTGTGTTGTTTTTCATTTTGAGTAGATATGTTTGTACCTTGTGGGTTGTGTTATGGGCATGGGAATTTTGGTTAAGTTTCGTTGGGGGGTTTTAGAGTTTTGCTCTCCGGTTGGACTCCCCTAACAAATTTATATATATAGATATGAGCATGGTTCAATATAATACAAGCAACATTTGTTTTCATCACAAGGTTTTCCTCTGTTGCTCACTGTAGTGTGCTGATGGCTCTGGGCTCAGGATGACATACGTTCTGGCAGGTTGCACCAAGCCATGTGGATTGAGATAAAGCCTTGCCAGTGGATTTTGCACCTTCCATCCAAGGGCTAATCTAGTGAAGTCCTACAGAAACACTGCTCAATGGAAGGTTAACCACCAGGTAGCTGAACTAGCCATACAAACTACAAATACAATAATATTGTGGAAGAGTTCACGGTCTGTATCAGTACTCACATCAGTATAATTCTATGGTTTTGATGTATGCATGTATATATAAAGTTTGATCAATTGTATAATCCTCAAAAATTAATATTTGAAGTAGTATTGAAAAGATAGTTTCACAAAGATTCAAGAGAACTAGGGTGAATAATATTTTTTCTTCTTAGCACCCACCTTGAATAATTTAATTTAAGAATGTCCAACTTAAATTAGCCAGTATATCACAGAGTTGATGTGATTAGGCTACTCATTGACTTAATAAATTAATTGGTTTTTAGTTAGGTAGTTGCTATCTTCCAGAGAATTCCTGCTTTATAAAAAGTGAATTTCAATTTCTGGAAATGTCCAGAAAAGGAATAATCTGAAAGAGGTTAGAGGCTACAAAAACAATCACATATGCTCTAAATAGAAATAAGCAATAGTTCCTAAGAGTCAAGTAAGGGCAGATAATATGGCACCAATAATCCTATGAGCAATCTTTAGCATACCTGGTTTAGATCCTTCGTCAACAGATCCATTATAAACTTGGTTTATGAACTCTGGCCGGTTGTCATTCATGTCAATAACATAGATGTAGAGGTCAATGGGGTTTTCCACTTTATTTCCATTCATATCGACTGCATGTGCTCGAAGCTGTTAAAAAGCAAAAATAGAACAATTAAAGAATCTCATGTTAGTAATGGAAATGAAATTTTGGAAAGGCAACATTTTGTATTCAATTATTTCAATTCAATTACTCTTTGCTACCATTAGTACTTAGAAATACCAACATTCCAGAAGGCTTGAGTTGGACGTTCTATGATGAAGCTATCCAACCAATTTTGGCATTCATAAGTACATGAATCTTTATGAGTGCCACAATTTAATGGCCTTTTGGATGTTTTTTTTTAAATTGTGAGATACATTATTCATGTTGTGGGAAAGCAATTTTGATGAGAATTTCCTGTTTCAAATTTCCCAAAATTGGGGGCATGCAGTTTCATACTTGAAAGCTCCAGTGGGATCCTGGAATACTTTATTCTGCATAACTTGGCAGCATTATCAATTGATTACTCATTCTCACAGACCAGCTCATCAACAAATGCCCAAACCCAGGAAAGCTGCAAATGTCTTCCAGAGACAGATGTTTTTACTGTAGCCAGATCTAGTAACAAAGGCAAAAGCAATCAGTCAAGAAGAATGGAAAACTTCTGCAACCTTCTCCTCTGCCAAACCATTATCAGTACAAATGCTGAGTACATGAAACCACCTCTACAGAGCCAGCACCTGTTTGGCATCCTAAAGAAAATGCCCTCAATTTTCTCATAAGAGTGCTTGTTGTTCAGACTCTTTGTTGGTAGCTTTTTAATCCTTGCCTCATCTCTAGTTTGCCATGTTTGCTTTTATTCACACAGATATTAAGATTGAGCACAGCATGTTATTTCAACCAAGAGCTCTACAAATCTGTTGCAAAAAAGGAATAATGTAGTGTATTATGTCATTTTGTGATACAGAACACTTCTTATTTATTATTTATTTCTATACCGATCTTCTCGCCTCCAAGAGGGACTCAGATCCGGTTCACAACATGTGTTCATATACAAAAATACAAACCACACAATGTATTATCATTACACAATTAAAAACATATTACAATACAACATCTTCATCATCACACTTACACAGCCAATGGATGAAAGCAGCATCAGAATATTTGGGCCAAATAGGTTCCTCCACACATTCGCCCTGTTCCCCTTGGAGGAATGCTAATGTGAGGAGAAAACATGAAGTTGTGTCCCTCAAAGTGGGCAAGAGTATCTAATGTTATCATCACCACCATACAGGAAGAAGCAACCTTGCAATAGTTCCGACATCATGATCAAGGGTCTGGAGAACAAGCCCTATGAGGAGCGGCTTAGGGAACTGGGCATGTTTAGCCTGAAGAAGAGAAGGCTGAGAGGAGATATGATAGCCATGTATAAATATGTGAGAGGAAGCCACAGGGAGGAGGGAGCAAGCTTGTTTTCTGCTTCCTTGGAGACTAGGACGCGGAACAATGGCTTCAAACTACAAGAGAGGAGATTCCATCTGAACATTAGGAAGAACTTCCTGACTGTGAGAGCCGTTCAGCAGTGGAACTCTCTGCCCCGGAGTGTGGTGGAGGCTCCTTCTTTGGAAGCTTTTAAGCAGAGGCTGGATGGCCATTTGTCAGGGGTGGTTTGAATGCAATATTCCTGCTTCTTGGCAGGGGGTTGGACTGGATGGCCCATGAGGTCTCTTCCAACTCTTTGATTCTATGATTCTATGATTCTATCACAAAGCGGGACCCAGTTACACTCCGATTCATACCAGAGTCTTATGTCCCAACAAAGTATCTGATATGTCAGTTCACAATTCAATAATCTTTTCATCTAGCCTCCATATTTCATAACCCCCCCCCAAAAAAAAACCATTTTAATTTTGAACTATAAGCAGAACAGCCTTACCTTCCAAGGATATCCCTAATTTTTAGATTGGTAGACTTCACTACATCATGTGGTAATGAATCCCACAATATCAAGACTGGAAATACAGTAAGTAAAACAAATAACAATTTTAACAAATATAAACTTATTAGTATTTCATGGGAAGTGTGGACCTGCAATAGGATTATTGTTGTTGTGTGCTTTCAAGTAATTTCAGACTTAGGTTGACCCTGAGCGAGGGCCAGATTAATGACCTTGGAGGGCCTTAGTTTGAGGACCCCTGGCCTACAACATGAAAACAACATCAAAATGAGGCTAAGATGGCAAATACTATTAAAAAGAAAGACCAAACAAGCATCAGGTTGCTTTTGTCTACAGTAGGCATGGGCAAACTTTGGCCATCCAGGTGTTTTGGACTTCAACTCCCACAATTCCGAACAGCTGGTAGGCTGTTAGGAATTGTGGGAGTTGAAGTCCAAAACACCTGGACACCAAAGTTTGCCTATGTCTTGTCTTCAGAGAGGGGAAAGACCCAGTACTTTCTGCCTCCCCTCTCCACAGTTAATTGATCACAAAATAACTTTGTATTTTGAACTCAACTGAAGTTAGCTGAGGACAAAGAGAAAAAGTGGGAGGAGGAAAGAAAAACTGGGACGTTTTTAAAAACAGATGAAAAAGTGAGAAGTAATTTCTTTAATTGGAGTTGTATCTGCCAAATTGGGGCAGTTGTGGAGTATGATTTTGTCTGCTTTGAATCTCTAGCCATTCACCCTTACTGGATGATCCTGCCCTCTAATTTTGTCAGAGAAGAAATCTCCTGGTGCATTTTCTCCATTGCACAGGTAGCTTTAATGTGTTTCTAAAATGAATCCTCTTTCTTTTCTGTAAAATCATTTTTAACACCATCTTATTTGTAATCAAAGTAATTAAAAATACAGATACAGAAAGAAAAAAAGAGAAAAGAGTGAAAAAAAAAGAGAAAAGGAGAAAAACATGCAGCCAATACAAAGTTAGTATTGAGAGGAGACACATCTCTAGTTTACTCCAGGTCTCTTTGATCTGATGTTTGGATTTAGAAATAGAGAGTTGATTTCTGACCCACAATCCTGACTTTCAAAGCATGTTTAATTAGCTTATCCGTTAGAACCACTTGGGTCATTGAGGCTAACTTAGGGCGGTCCCACATAGCCTATTATCCCAGGAGCATTTATGTTTAAAAAACATTAATGTTCCTGACCCCTATCCACATACACTGCAGAAAGCACATGATTTCTGGGGTTGGTGTACAGGTGTTCTTCTGGACACTCTAATCCCCTCCCCCAAAGACCCCAAAAGCCCTGTAAAAAACAAAAGAACTTACCCGGCCTCCATTAGAGAGCTGCCAGAGCTCTCCTGGCACATCATTTCTACATGTCAGGAGAGCTCTGGCAGCTCTCTAATGGAAGCTTTTTTCTCTCACACAGGACTTTTGGGGTCTTTTGGGGGAGTGGGGTTGATGTTATCACAGTTTTCTGGGCTAACCGTAGGAATACTGTCTGGACTGCAATCCAGAAACTGGAAGTAGTGGGTTTATTCCATGCCTTCCAAGAAGACGTGGAATAAACCCACTAACAAATTAATTTGCCACAAACCAGAGTTTTCCTGGTTTGTGGTGAAATGATTTGGGTTTGTCCAGGACATAATTTGGACAGCTCCTTTTTTATTGCGGTTGCCTGGATGCGCCTTTAAGGGAATCTGACCTGAGTTGGAATCTGTCCTGAGTCCCTTCAGGGAGATAGGGCAGAAGACAAATACTATTATCATCATCATCATCATCATCATCATCATCATCATCATCATTAAACTCAGCAACCTTAGAAACATTTTTTCCAAGTTTAAGCAAAATATTCTTGCTACCGCTGTCATATCTACTCTTTAGTTCTTTATCCATAACAGCTAAAAAAATAATTCTGATAATAACACAAAATCTACATTTAAATTTCTTTGGATTGACACATAGATTTTATTCCACTAACTTTCTGCCTTCCTCCCATATCACTATATATGCAAAAAGAGAGTCCTCCTTATCTTGACATCCCAATATTGATATGAAGCATCCTGGAACAATTCAGCAGCTTATTTGGGATTTGACATCACTTATACATAATCTTCTACATGTTTTCTTTTCTGCCCTTAGAACACATTTTCTCATACATCCATATGGACATTACGACTGAAATTTGGGGCTTGGTTTATCGTGTATTCCTATTACAGGTGCATTTTCTTCCTTTGGCTTCAAAAGCCATTACATACTTTTAAAATTACATTTAATTACATGGTTTCCTACCTACCTACCCTTTTGTTTAAACTAAAATGAAAGCTTGTATGATTGCTTTTAAAAAGGGAATTGCTGTTTCTTTGCCACAATGTTCTTGGTAGATTTTCCAGTGCTCCTACTACTCTTTCCAGAGGAGATGCTGCAAATCTCATCCGTAAACAGAAATACATTCATTTAAAAATATTTTTATGTTTCTCCATCATGGAAACTTGTCCATGGCAACTTTTGCTCTGTGCATCTCTTTTGAATGCAGTTACTGGCACTGTACGAGTTCATTACCTTTTACGCCAGAGCTGCTCGGTTCCTCTGATGAGGAATATTTCGAAAAATATAAAAAACTAGTGAAGCAAACCTCTCTTTGATGAAGTCATGCTGGTTTTTTCCCTCCCTCAGGAAGGCTTATTTTTCAAAGGTTTAACAATTCTTGTTCTAATAATGCTTTTGACCAATTTCCCAGAGAAACAGTTAGGCTGACAAGCCTGTAATTTCTTGGATCCCACCTAGGCTCTTTGTAAATTGGTGTTACATTGGCTACTCCTCAGTCATCAGGTAAGGAAGCTAAGGTTGTTTAAGAAAAATGCATATTTTAGTTAATAGTTCCACAATTTCATATCTGAACTCTTTAATAATCCTCAAATGCCACCAATTTCCCATGATTTGTTATTTTAAAATGCCATCCTTTGTCACGGTGTTTTTTGAAGCACTACCTGGAAAAAAGAAACACCCACGAATAGTACTGTTTATTTCTTCAGCATTTCTGATGTGAAAGATATGCAAAACTACACTCAATTTCTCTATAGTTTCATTTCATTTCCCCTTTTTAAGCCTTTAGTGCTATTTAATGGCCAGATTCTTCTAGTCATTTATTTCTT